GCCGGCCACGGCCGGGCTGGCACCGGGGCAAAGCCGCCGACCGAGCCAGGGCGAGAGCCCTGCCTGCCCCGCAGCTAGCCAGGCCTGGGCTGCCCGGCTCCAGCTCGGGACTCGTGCCCTTGGCCTGGGGGGGCTGCCTGCACCTTTCCAGGCACCCCTGGGTTGTGGGCGGAGAGGTGCCCGGCAGCGAGTGAGCCAGGCGGTAATGAGCAGTGGGTTAATTAGCAGTTCTGCTGAGCAGCACCGGTCCAGCTAGTCAGCTCCACTTCGGCCCGGACGTGCTGCTAATTAAACCAGTCACAAGCTGGCAGAGGGTAGGTTCAGGCTGGACATCAGGAGGCACTACTTCATGGTCAGGGCGGCCAGGATCTGGAACCAACTTCCAAGGGAAGTGTGGTGCTGGCTCCCACCCTGGGGTCTTCAAGAGGAGACTGGATGAACACCTCGCCGGGGTCGTTTGACCCCAGTGCTCTTTCCTGGCCAGGCAGGGGGTCGGACTGGATGATCTCTCAGGTCCCTTCCGACCCGACCTACTGCGAAACTATAATTGGAGCGGGCAAAACTCCGCCGGCCGCCCTGCAGCAGCTGCGCGGTGGCCACCCCAAGCCCTGGCTGCGCCCCACGCTGCGCCAGGCAGTGCAGGCCTGTGTCTCAGCAGCCAGCCCGCCAAAGCCGTCCTGCAGCCGGGGCGCCTCCCTCTCTGCCTCCACACAGCTGATAGCCGTGCCCAGACAGCCGTGGCACTCTCCTTGCCCAGCGTAAGCGGAGGAACGTGGGGGCAAAGAGCTGGCTCGAGGCCCTGAGGCCAGGGGTGTTGTCTGGAGGGGAGCAGAGCTTATAGCAGAGCCTGACGCCTCCTGCATTAGTCCAGCCTAGCCGGTGCCACCAACCCCAGCAGCTACCAGGGCCCCGGGACCTGCCAGCCCATGTGTCCCATGCACAAGGGCCAGGCTGTGCCAGGGGGCTCAATTCACCCCACCAGACTCGGAGCACATGGCACCTGTGGGGCTCTGGCTGCTGCATGAGCAGGGCAGATTTGCCCTGAACATCAAGGGGGAAATTACACCCAATGGAAACGGCATGGAGATGTGGGCCTCAGCCGCACCGCAGGGTGCCGGGGGGCGAGACAGCAACATCTGAAGGCTGTGTGAAGGCGCCCAGCAGGGGAGAGCTGCGGGCCGGGAAGAAGCTGAGCCGTGTCAAAGCAAGGAGAAAAACACCCGCTAATGAGAGGGAAGCAGCCATCGAGTTTACTAGGTATAACCATCTCCGCGAGGCAGCCGGCGGAGGGGCCTGGGCCCAGCCTACCCACACTGGCCTGGGCAGGGACTTGTGTGGGGCGGGGGGCGAGGGTGAGGGCACGATCCAGCTGCCTGGTCACGTAGAGCCACCCAAAGGCTGCTCTGCCTTGCAGCTGCGCTGGGCAGCAGAGAGGAGCCGTAGCACAGGGCAGGCCTCGGTGCAGAGGGGTCTCCAAGGCTGGCTCCTCTCCCTGGGGGGGTCAGGGGCCATCGGCCTCCGCCGTCTGCCCTGGGCCCTGCTCCCCAGCTCTTACGTGCCCCCAGGGCGCTGTTTGCAGCTCCCCACCCCCCACTCGGAGACGTGCGCACCCGCACCGGGGACGGCTTCGTGGCCTTCTCCCTGGTGATTCATCCCTGCGCCCCATCCCTGGCGCCGCGCAGCATGTGCATGGTAATGAGGGCCCGGCTGCATCCGCGTCGGCAATCGTGCTGGAAATCTGTTCAATTAGCAACTTTTCAGGGCTATTTATCCATGGCGCAGCTTGGAGCAGGGGTGGGGGGAGGGGAGCCCGAGCCGGCTAATTGAGCTGCGTTTGATATGCGTTTTGTCGGAGCACTTTCCACTGACGAGCCCGGAGAGCTGCTCCCCCCGCTCCCCTTTCCGAGCCAGCTCTTAATATGATGGCAATTAAGAACTCGTCTGTCCGGGCCCTGGTTCTGGGCCCTGCAGAGGGCGAAGCGCGAGGTGGTAGCCGGAGCGGAGACTGAGCCCAGCACCCAGAGAGGGTCCTGCCGGCGCTGGTACTTTGCCCCCCTTAGCACTGCGACCACACAGCCCCAGGAACCCCCCGGCCAGAGAAACAGCCTCTCACAGCCTTGGAGGCAGAAGCAGGGGAGCCACGGGCATCCCCAAGGTCACATAGGGCAGCAGTGCTGCACCAAGCATGGCCCCTGGTCCCTTCCTGGGGATGAATGAGGTTTGCAGCGGGCAGCCATCCAGCTTGGCCCGCAGTTTAGCCATCCAGTTGGCAGGGGCACAACAGCTTGGAGGGGGCCCTGCTCAGCTCGTGGTGTCTGGAGCATCACGTCCCAGCTCAGCTGCCCCAGGGTCCTTGGAGGCTACGGTGCACAGAGCATACCCGGCTCCATAGAGCTGGGGGGCTGCAGGCTCCCAAGAGCCCCTTCACTGCAGGCTGCATCCCACCAGCAAAGGCCCAGCCAGCATCCAGGCCTGAGCTCCCTGCCCCCCCAGGACCCTGCCGGGACAGGCAAGGGCTGGAGGCCACTCAGGGAAGCCTTTCCGGGAAGGAGCTGCACCAAGGCTGTCTCAGCTGGGGGCCAAGACCCGGCCTGGCCTGGGCTGGGCAGGGAGCCGTCCCCCCGGGCAGGGCTGGTGTAGCTGCCGCGATGCTTCCTCCATTCTGCCTCGGAAACTGGGTCAAAAACAGAAGATCCTTTAATTGCAGCCGGGCTGGTGGCACATCGGGGTACGGGCCTGCGCGTCCTCCCACTGGTGCCTTCTACCAACATCTCCCCTCGCTTCGCTGCCAGGGAAGGAGGGATGGGAATGGCAGGGCTGGCCCTGGCAGATGCACTTGCCCCTCCGGGGTGGCAGGGCTTCCTGGGCTCTTCCCCATCTCAGGCTTGCTGGGGCCCCCCCCCCCCCCCCTGCCGCAGCTTCCTCCTGGAAGCCTTTTCAAGCAAATTGTCTGTTATTCCGCACGGTTGCGATGAATAGACGTCTCCCAGGCTGGCACCTGGAGCTGGGACTGGCGGAGGCAGAGCCGAGCAGGAGCAGGGAGGGGAAATAAAAGGACTCCTAAAAGGAGCCGGCGGGAAGAAGCCGACACCTGATGCGCCGGGGAGGAGCTGGCAAGCAGGGAGTGGGGGCCCACGTTGCTCCCGGCACCTGCGCTGTTTATGCGACGCTGTTTTATTCCGGGTGGTTTGGCAGCGCGGCAAGCAGAGATGTCGGGGTGGTGGGGGGATCCGGGCGAGCTGCCGTGGTGGTCGGCTGAGGCACTGGTCCACCCGTGCCAGTGCAGGGCACTACTGGGGGGAGGCACCGGGGCCGATCTGACCCGACAGAGTGCCAGCGGTGAAGGCACAGCGGGCAGGGGGGGCTCTTCTGTGCCCTGCATTGCCTTGGCATCTCCCAGCGCTTACAGCTCTCTCTCTGGGGCTGGGTGGCAAGTCCCTCCTCAGCCCCCAGGCAGGACGGAGCTGGGTCAGCCCTGAGCAGCCAGGGTCTATGGCACCCCGGGGGCAAGGGCAGTGAGCAGTGACCCCTTGGCTGCTGCCAGGCAGGGAAGGCACCGCGTTGAGCAGGGCACGAGGGCACCTGCCGCGCTGCCAACGTGAGATTGCACCACTGGCGAGAACAGCTCCGAGGGCGGCCGTCTGCTAGCACGGGTCCCTGCGGCCGAGACTCCAGGCCCGGCTCCAGCCCTGCGCTGGGCACCCCTGCGGGGTCGTTAGCACTTTCTGAAGCTGCCGATAGAAAGCCTGGTGCTTCAGAGGAGCTGGCTGGGGGCCCAGGCCCTGAGCCTGCAGTGGGACTGCCAGGGGGGGCTCTGGCACCTGTCAGATCGGGGTGCGGCATTTGCATCCCGTTATCAAGCCCAGCCATTCAGCAGGGGTGAATCCTGCGGGGTGCTGGCAGGGGCACAGCACCTGGGTCTCAGGCCATCTGCAGGCCTGGGGAGGCACCATGCTTGCTCCCGCCAGCAGCGGTGGCTCCGTCGCTGGTCCAAGGGGCTGTTCTTGGCAGGCCCGGCGCGGCTGAGGGTGACCATTGATGCGGCAGCTTGCACAGGAAGCGAGCGCCGGGGGCTTTTGTGCGCTCCGGGCCCCGTGCGCCTTTTGCTGAGCAGCCCCGGCTGGCGCGGGGGCCGCTGCCAAACAACGAGCCCGTGTTGTGCCCTTGCCACTTCATCAGCCGCAGCGATTGACGGCCGCTTCCGCGCCAGGGAGGGGTCCGCGCAGCACAGAGGCCGCTCAGTGCCCGGCTGCCCCCCAGGCTGACCGGCACAGGCCCCTGCCTGTTTGCAAGGCAGCTCCGCACGCCTGCCCCTCTCCTCTCGGGCCCGGGAGGAGCATCCAGCCACGGCAGAAGGGGCGCGCGTGCAGGGAAGAGGCCAGAACCGGCCTGGCCTTGCGCAGGTAAAGCAGTCCTCCAGCAGGGCCCAGGGCGTCTCCAGCTGGACTCATTCCCCCAGGAGCGGCCTGGCCTGAGCTCCTTGCTCGCAGGCAGCCCCAGACCCCTTGGCTCTGTTATACCGTCCTCGTTCCGGGGGGTGGGGATGGGAAGCCAGCCCTGCCCTCTCTGGGCCGAGCTGGGGTGTCCCTTACTACCCCAAAGCAGAGGCGATGCCCGGGTAGAGCAGAGCACCCTTGCACCCCAAGCAGGGCCCGGCTGGGCAGGGGTCCTGCACCTTCCTGCTGCCTTTCTTTGGTCTCCTTCCCGACTGTCGAGTGGCCGAGCTCCAAGGACGGCTCCGGCAGGCCTGTGGCTGCAAGAGCCGGGACAGTCTGGGGAACAGGTTTGAGGGACCCCGTATTGACCTCCTCTGCAGCCGCGCAGGCTGGGAGCCCGGTTATGGGCCTGGACCCCCCATCCCCGGACACTAGGAGCCCGTCAGCTCATCCGGCGTCTCCCCCAGCTCCTTGGCAGGGTGGCTGGGTCGGAGCCGACTGCGTCCTCTAGCCAGAAACATTGGGGCGGGGAAGCTAGCCGTGCTCTTGCCCCGTCGCACACCTCGACATGCTGCCTGGCTCCCCCAGCTCCGATCCCCTGGACGCAGAGGTCATTTCACGAGGCTGCTGCATCTCCCCGGAGAAGCAGCAGTGACCCATCGGTGCCCGAGCTGGAAGCCTGCCTTGGCTGGGGCAGGCCGGCCCCTCCGGTGGTGGGGTGGCGATGCGTAGAGGAGCTCCAGTCTTCCTGAGACAAGGCTGCTTCTGCTCTCCCCTTCCTGCAGCCGGGGTTGGTGGCATCTCCTCGCAGGGCCCCAGAGCGCCTTCCCCCGGGCGCTGGCAGGCAGGGCATGGGGCACGGGCCCCTCCTGGAGCACAGCAGGGGCAGGTTTGCCCCCTCCTCCCCCGCCACTGACCTACCATCCCCAGGCCCCTGGGGAGCCAGGCTCCGTAATTAATGCTGTTGGCCAAACAGGATGCTGATAATAATAATAATGCGGCAGCATCTCGCCAGCCACACTCCACGCCGGGAAGGAGCTCTCTGGAGCAGGGACTAATATCTCCCTCTGGAAAGAGACAGATTAAAGGATATCATTATAATTATCTTATTAGAACCGTGCTGCCGAGGCCACAACCCAGCGCCGCTGGTTCAGGCGGGGACAGGGAGGCAGAAGCCCCCTCCCCGCGGGTTGCTGCAGCCCCCCGGGGCCGAGGTCTGCCAGGCAGGGTGGGAGGGGGGCACGCAGGATGCCCCAGGTAGGAGCTGTGGCATCAGGGGCAGGTGAGAGCAGCCCATGCCAGTCCTCAGGGGGTCTGCAACTGGCTCTCACTGCAGCAGTGACCTGCCTGTGCCACCAAGAGCTGCACCAAGGCCCCTCTGGCATGGCCGTGGGCTTGGCACCGGGTCCTGCCGCAGCCACAGCTGCACCTGGCCCTGCGCATGGCCCAGGGGATGGTCCAGAGACGGCTCCCAGCTGCCTGGGGCCAGGCCGTTCCCCTCCCTGCACCCACGTGTCCCTGGCCGGGGGCCTCTACAGCACCCTGGGCTGAGCGCTGAAGAAGCCTGCTGCAGACTCAGCCCCGGGGAAAACCCCCCGTCTTAGCAGCTCCAGCCCAGAGCATCTTCAGGGATGGAGCAGAGCGCGACTTGGGCAAGGCTCGGGAAGTGGGGGCCCAGGTCAGAAGCCCCTCGGACACGGGCTGTTTGCTCGGAGCCCTTGCACCCAGCTGCACCCAGTGCCGGAGCCCTTGGCCGTGGGGCTGGGGCACTGGAGACAGGCCAGCAGTCAGGGCAGGACGGAGATGGCCTCATGCCCGAGCACAATCGCTGGCTGAGGGATCCGACCCGTCGGGGCATTTCAGCAGTCACCCCCTGCCTCTGCACCTCGTAGCCCTTCCTCCCAAAACCGCTGGCCCGAATAAGGAGAATCCCCCGCCGGCTGTAGGGGGCCTATGACCCTGCTGCAAGCCTGCTCTGGGGTGGGGGGCTGCTGGCAGCGCACCCCGGCTGGGCGCGGGGGGTCTGTGAAGGTCACAGGCAGCCAGGTGCAGCGGAGCTGAGAGCCCAGCCCTGGGGCACCCAGAGGTCCGGGCTGCGCGGGGACCCGGGGGGATCCGCCTGGGCTGCCGGAAAACCCAAAGGGGGGTTGCCATGGAGACCAAAGCGATCCAGTCCTCCTCCGTGCTCTCCGATGGGGCGTCCTTGCCGGGGGGCAGCCCAGGCCCAGAGCGGCCTGGCATGGGGGACAGGGCTCTGCCCCCCCAGGGTTGGGGGCAGTACAGCTGCGTGGGCAGATCCCGGTCCACCTGCCTCTGCCCCGCCGGCCTGCACCTACCGTACCCAGCCTCGCTGGCTCGGCGCCACATGTCCGCAGCCCACGCTGCCTCCTGCTTCCCCCTCCTGAAGCCAGAGGCCCCCCCAGTCCTTGGGCTGCAGCTGGCTGGGAGCCCCTCCCCCCCACTCAATTCTGATTGCAAATTAAGCCAGGTGTCTGCACGCGGTCTCTCCTGTCGGATCTTCCTGCAGCGCACTGAGCCCAGGGCTGAGCACAGCAAACAGCAAGGAAAGGCTTTCCAGGGCCGCTGGGGAGCGCGGGGTTGCTGTGGCCCAGCTCCTTGGGCAGAAACCCTCCACCCACCCCACTCCTGGTGCTGGACCTGGTCTGCTGGGAGCTACTGGGGAGGCAGGTGGCTCTGGACCGGCTGATGGAGGGGGCTGAGCTAGTGCCCAGGTTGCCTGCATCGCCGGCGTGCGCACGGATCCTGCAGCCCTGGGCTGTGCTGAACCCGTCGGCTTGAGCCCTCTCCCTGGGGCCAAGCTGGCAGCCGGGGCACTGGGCTGGGCTGGGCAGGAGCTGCGTGGGGCCGGGGCCAGGCGGGTTGGGCCTTGAGCCACCCTGGGGCTGAGCTGGAAGCCATCCCGCTGGGCCAGCGACACCCCCAGGAGGCAGCTGCTTGCTGGCTGCCCCGTGCCCAGCCCAGCTGTGCAACGCGGGCACCGCGGCAGCTGGGACTTGGCAGCGATGCCAGGTTGAGCCGACCGCGAGCTGGCAGGGACGAGCCTGTGCGATGGATCCTCCCGTGCCGCGCAGCCAGCTCCGTGGCAGAGCCGCAGGGCCCGGGCATCGGGACAAGGAGGGAGAGAGATGCAGCCCTCGCCTGGCTCCGCGGTGTGCTTGTGGGTGCCTGCTGGCGGGGGGCATGGTTTCTACAGCCCCCCGCCACCTGAGGCCTTCCTGGGGGAAAGATCAGGCTCCGCATCCCGGGCCCGAGCTCCCACAAAGAGCCCTGTGTGCCCCTCGCCCCGGGGCAGGTGGGCTCTCACCCCCACTCCGCCATTTCCTGTGTGCTGGGGAGGGGGACGGGGGGCATCTGCCCGTGCTGGAGGTGCCCCCATCTCCGGCGGCCCCCGGGCACCGGCCCCAGCTGCGTGGCAGAGGCCTCATTAATAAGCCCGTCTCCGAATGAATGTGGCAGTTCTCCTGGAACGGGATCATTAGCAGGCGGGGAGCATGAGCGGAATAACAAGCACCGGGGCGGGGGGCGGGGTGCCCCGCGCGCTGCACCGGGAGCCCGGCAGGGGCCGGACGGGCCTTGGTATCTCCTGTGCCCTGGCTGTGCTGGGGTGCGCCTGCTTCCCCCGCTCCCTCCCTTCTTTCTCCCCCATTTCCCCCAAGGGTCTCCCTGCTCGCGGGGGGCTGGGAGCGGCTTCGCTGTCCCTCCCACCCAGCTGAGCCCGACACTGCACACGGGGCAGGATCGGCCTCCCTGTCTGCCTGCCAGAGGGCAGCCGGAGCCAGAGCCCAGCCCCTGCCCATAGCACAGGCAGCGCTCTGCCACCCGGGCCAAGGGGTCTGCAGGTCTGTGGTGGAGCAGGGGCCTGGACTGGGCTCTCCCGGGCCCCAGCACCTGCCCTGAGGCTCCTTCCAGCTACAAGGGCAGGAGCAGGGTCCCAGCGGCTCCTGGAGCCCTCCGGCCTCTGCCGAGCTAGCCCTTGACAGGGGCAGATTCAGACCAGTGCCCTCTGCGAGACACCCCGTCGGGGGCCGAGCAGCTCAGCGGGGTCCGTCCCGCGGGGTGCCCCAGGCCTCCGGCACGTGCTGCCCCTGGGCCGCAGCCCGAGGAGCCGCATCTTGGCTGGGAGCCGCGGGAGGGTCGCCACGGCAACCCTGCAGCTGGATGCCGGGGAAACGGATGGTTTCCAGCCAGTCGAGCCTCTGCTCCCGCTGGCCTCTGGCTCCGGCTGCTGCAAAGCCAGCTCTGCCCAGGCTGCCGGGACCCTCTCGCATGCCCCTGCCTGCGCCGGCGCCCCTCGCAGCATCCTGCTGCCTGGCAGAGAGCCGGGGGCCAGGCACGGGCGCAGCGGAGGCAGGGGGGCTTCCTGGCAGCTCGTAGCAAGGCTCGGGGGCAAGCGGGGCCGTGTCCCTGGGGCAGGTGGCTGCTATCCCGGGACAGGGCGGTCCATCCCTGGGAGAAGGGAATCAAGGCAGGGAGCCCCAGAGGGGTTAATTAG